GTGTGTGTGTGTGTGTGTGTGTGTGTGTGTGTGTGTGCGCGCGTTAGCTACAGGCTAATGTTACTGGTACTGTTGATCAGGTCAAAGTGAAGCATAAGTGAGTTTTATCCATAAAAATTACTTCAGTACAAAATGTATAAAAAGTTTGTGTGTTTGTGTGTGCGTGTGCGCAGGTAAGGAGCGTGAACACAACCTGCAGGCCGGTGACAACGTGGAGGTTTGTGAGGGAGAGTTGATCAACCTGCAGGGAAAAATCCTCAGTGTGGACGGCAACAAGATCACCATCATGCCCAAGCACGAGGACCTGAAGGTAGACACACACACACGTTTGTCTTCCTGTACCTGTGAGGACCCTCATTGACGTCATCAGTAACCTAAAGCTAATTCTAACTTCTAACCATAACCTTAAACGCAATGAGCACCGACCGGAACGTGATGGTTTAAAGCTGATATTCTGTGTTTTCTCTCAGGACCCTCTGGAGTTTCCGGCTCACGAGTTGAGAAAATACTTCCGGATGGGCGACCACGTGAAGGTGATCGCTGGCCGGTACGAGGGCGACACCGGCCTCATCGTCAGAGTGGAGGAGAACTTCGTCATCCTCTTCTCCGACCTCACCATGCACGAGGTATTTAATGATCATCTAATGATGCCGAGTCATTACATGTAAACGGGACAAAACAATCTAGAACTAACCCGACTCCCTCACACGTTGTCCGTCCTACGATTGCACTCGGCTGGACTCACAGGTTTGTCCGTTCTGAGTAGACGACGCCCACACATAACGGCACGTTAACCCTAAATGGTTGTGATAGGCCGGTCTGAATCCATCCAGCCTCATATGGAGTCTTTCTGCTACATATTTATATGATTCATTATTAATCATATTTATATGCAGACCATTAACACACACTAGACCTGCTGACTCTGCGGCGTCTGGAGGGGATCTTCAGGTGTGACCTCTCCCGTCTCACCCTCTGTGTGTTCGTGCAGTTGAAGGTTTTGCCCAGAGACCTGCAGCTCTGCTCGGAGACGGCATCCGGTGTGGACGCGGGAGGGCAGCACGAGTGGGGGGAGCTGGTCCAGCTGGACCCGCAGACCGTCGGGGTCATCGTCCGGCTGGAGAGAGAGACGTTTCAGGTAATAGTCCGATAATTAGTCCCAAGCTTGGTGGACGTTCCCAAAGTATAAAGCAAAGTGAGACGTTTGCTGGGTGTCTCTCAGGTGTTGAACATGCACGGGAAGGTCACGACGGTGCGGCACCAGGCGGTGAACCGCAGGAAGGACAACCGCTTCGCCGTGGCTCTGGACTCTGAGCAGAACAACATCCACGTCAAGGACATCGTCAAGGTCATCGACGGGCCACACTCGGTACGTTCACCGCTGGTTCTGAATAACAAGGAACTAAATATTTACGTCTGCTCGAGATCCTGCAGCTTGTAAAATCTGCTCTTCATGGTTTGTCGTTTTACCAATGTTGGAAAACATGGAGGCTCCACGTGTTTTATATATGAAACTATTCACATGTTTCAGCCTCTCCTCCTCTCCCCTCTCCTCCTCTCCTCTCCTTTCCTCTCCTCTCCTTTCCTCTCTCCTCTCCTTTCCTCTCTCCTCTCCTCTCTTCTCTCCTTTCCTCTCTCCTCTCATCTCCTCTCTCCTCTCCTTTCCTCTCTCCTCTCCTTTCCTCTCTCCTCTCCTCTCT